ATCTTCTTTGTTGGAAGTAATACAGATGTCCCCTTTCCTCCAATGACCCCTTCCAGCCCGCCCGCCCGGGCCCCAGCCCCAGCCCCAGCCCCAGGCCGTCACCATGCCATGGTCTGTGTCCCGGGATTACGCATATTCTTCCCACCCATCCACCACCACTTTGCTCCTTGGCTAAGAGTCTGGCGTTGCCACGCAAAAACACAAAGATGCCTCTAACCGGTTTGGCTCAGTGGATTAGAGCATCGGCCTGCGCGCTGAAGGGTCCCAGGTTCGATTCCGGTCACGGGCATGTAACTTGGTTGCGGGCACATCCCCAGTAGGGGGTGTGCAGGAGGCAGCTGATCAATGTTTCTAACTCTCTATCCCTCTCCCTCTCCCTTCCTCTCTGTAAAAAAAAAATCAACAAAATATACTTAAAAAAACAAAACTGGAACTTAAAAAAAACACAAAGATAGCTGTAAAACAACCCCTCGTTACTTAACCCACTTTCTTCTGTGCTGCACTTCCTCCTTCTCCTGCCACCCACTCCCCAACTCCCCACTGAAAACAACAACAACAACGTGGTGCCCTAGCCTGTTTGGCTCAGTGGATAGAGTGTTGGCCTGCGGACTGGGGGGTCCCACGTTGGATTCTGATCAAAGGCACATGCCCTGGTTGCGGGGTTGATCCCCAGGAGCGGGTGTGCAGGAGGCAGCTAATCAATGATTCTCTCTCATCATTGATTCTTCTATTTCTCCCTCTCCCTTTCTCTCTGAAATCAATAAAAATATATTTTTAAAAAATGAATAAAACAACGTGGTAGATTCTGTCATCTTGGAGTTCAAGTTTGGGTAAAAGGAAATTCTGGGCTTTGTCAAACTAGAATAGGAAACTTCAGAAATTTCAAAATGTCTACAGGCATGGTACCCACAGGAGTAATTATGCCTATAAAGTTATGATCACAATGAATAAACTGGGAGATATAGAGAAGGCAGATAATCATCCTAGGCCTGATTGGCAAATGCTTCTTGAGTACTTGAAACCCAGGAGACCTAAAAAGAAACTTCGATGAACTGAGATTTTTTTAAAGTCTTTTACAAAAACCAGAAAGATGAACTTTAAAAACCACTTAATCATGGTTAATGCGTTGTAGTGGAAAGAGCATGGGCTTTGAGGTCAAACACTAGCAATGTTCACATCCAAGGTCTACCACTTTTGAGCTCTGCTGAGCTCTGAGACCTTGGATAAATCATTCTGTTCGAGGATCAGAGTTTCCACAGCACGTTCACGGATAAGATGTTCCATCCCTCAGGGCCATTCTGAGGGTTAGACAAACTAACAAGCACAAGGCACAACCGCCTAGTGCGTCACTAACAATGACTGATAACTTCCTGGGCCTTCCTCCTCAGGCTAGTCTTTTTTTGAAAAAAAATAAATGTATTTTTATTGATTTCAGGGAGGAAAGGAGAGGGAGAGATAGAAACATCAGTGATGAGAGAGAATTATTGATCAGCTGCCTGCTGCATGACCCCCACCAGCGATCGAGCCCGCAACCTGAGCATGTGCCCTTGATTGGAATTGAACCTGGGACCGTTCAGTCCGCAGGCCAACGCTCCATCCACCGAGCCAAACCAGCTAGGGCTGCTTTTTTGTTTTTTTGTTTTTATGAGTGTAAATTTATTAAAGCTTGAGATAGTGAGGCAAAGGAAGGGCGCCTGGAGATAGGATCAGGGAATCGGGGGTAAGCTCAGAAGAGCTGCCTCTGACCATTGTTCCCCTGGGTGAGAGTCAGGTCTCATCAGGACCCTTAGAGCTTAGGACAGAGAAAGAGTTCAAGTTGGAAAGCACACAAACCCAGACAAGTCATGTGAAAGAGGAAATTGTAAAAGAACAGTTACTTTTTTATAGGACTAAATCTCCGAAGTCAGATGAATTAATAACAGGAAGAATACTGGGGGGTCGGGGGGGGATGCAGATGTTCCCTCTCCTCTCAGCCCTCCTATTCAGCCGCAACTCAGTTGTGGCACGTAAGGTTCTGCTTTGTAGAGCAGTTGTTTGCATACACCCTTCATCTTAGCCCCCTTACTACCAGGTACAGAGCAAGGGTTCAATAAGTATTTGTGAATAGTGTTGTCACATAACTACCAATCATTAGAATTCATGAAACGTACATGAAAATTAAAGATGGAAAAAATTTTCCACAGATTTTCTAAGGCAGGTAATGGGTGATGCTAAAGATTGTAGATATCAATATTCATGAGACAGTATTTCAGAGGAGATTTATTAACATGGTTCATGAACACAAAAAAGCAATATGGAATTACTGAGGACAATCTTTTGCTTATATATTTCCGTATTTTATGAAACTCCCCTCCATCTTTCACTCTTGTCAAAATCCATCCATATTTTGAAACGCAGCTCAAAGTCTATCTTTCCCATGAAGTCACGCCTATTCATCCCAACAGATCATCCCTTCCTCTGCTGAATGCCTAAGACCTTGGCTTATTCTTGTTAAACTTATAGTATCTGTTGTTTCAAATAAGATAATGTTCATGAAAGTGTTTTTGCGAGCTGTCCAGTGTAATAACAACTGAGATTCAATGTTTATTGAGCACCTACTCTGAGTTTCACAATATTTATGGAGACCTGCTCTGTACTCCATCACATATGCTTTGTGTAGCTCATCTAGACTGGAGCTCCCAAGAGCTGTCTTATTCATCTTCATATTCCTAGCTCCTGGCATAGTGCCTGTCACAGAGCAGCCTTGTAATAATATCTTTGTTAAGAGCTCGCTTAGGAACTTTCACAATTTTTATCTCATTTCATCACCACAACTCTGTAGATATGCTGATAAGCAATAAATAGCTTTAATCTATAAATATTTGACATCAATGGTGTGTAAAATCACTGTGCTAGTACTGGAGACATAGCAGGGAACAAAACAATCCCTGACCTCTTATTTTTAACCCTTTGAGGGCCAACCAATATCCTAGGAACTGTGCTAAAATTGCCAAGGCATTTTTGCTGATTTTACAGCAGTTTAGGAAAAAAATTATGAATCGCAAGTAAATGAAGTTACATATTCAAAAACTTAAGGAAACCTTTACTACATTGGCATGTTTAGCAATATCATCATCACTAATAAAAGCAGACTTAGAACTGGACGCCATTTCGAAGCTTTGCTAGTGCTCCCGGCACTTTTGGCAAAAGACAGGAGGAGCGCGATCATGCTCCCCGTCACTCTAAGGGTTAAACTAGAGGCCTAATGTATGAATTCCCTGCCCAGGTGGGGTCTGGCCTGCCTGGCCCCAATCAGGGTACAATGGGGCTGGGCCTTTAGGGAGGAGGAGATGGTGGGAGGTTGGCCAGTAGGACCACCCTGATCGGGGCCCAATCAAGGCCGGGCCAGCTGGGGGAAGGGGCTACTGGCGATTGGCTGGTGGGCCCTGTCCCTGATTGGGGTTGGGGGACTTATTGGGGGCAGGGCCAGCCATGGGGAGGAGCTGTGGACCATGGGCCGGCCTCGCCCCTGAATGGGGTGGGGGGGTGCCAATTGGGGGCCAGCAGCCTGGGGGAGGATCCAGCCAGCCCTGCCCCTGATCGGAGTGGGGAGGGGGCCTATCTGGGCTGGGGCTGGCCAGGTGGAGGGGTAGGGGAGGTAGCCAGCTGGCCCCGCCCCCTATTGGGGTGTGGGGTGTGATCAAGGGTGGGGTGGCCAGGGGGAGGGGCTGCAAGCCTATCTAGTGGGGTGGGCTGATCGAGGACAGGGCTAGCGGAAGGGGTGGGGCGGTGGGAGGGAGGAGGCTTTGGCCTGCCTCCCCACTCTTGATCAGGGTGGGAGAGTCCAATCAGGGGCAGGCCGGCAGTGGGGAGGGGCCGTGAGGTTGGCCGGCCAGCCCCACCCCCTGATCAGCAGGTTTGCTGGCCACAGTGGGCGTCATAGCAATTGGTCATTATGGTCATTACGGCCATTATGGTTGCTGGCTTTTTATATATAGAGATGAGGAAAGTGAGGTGCACAGTAGTTGCGACATTCTTAGAATCACACTGCTAGTAAGTTACAGGTCTAAAATTTAAATCTAGGTATTCCTGGTCCCAAGTCCAAGGCATAAGCACAAGGAATGGTCACCTTATTTTTATTACATAGACAATCCCCAACTTAAAATTGTATGACTTCCAGTTTTTCCTTAATGTTGTTGTGAAAGTGATATGCATTCAATAGGAACCAACTAAACTAAGCTATGATGTTCAGTAGATTATGTGCATTTCTAATTTATGTTATTTTCAATTTATAATGGGTTTATCAAGATGTAACCCTATCATAAGTTGAGGAGCATCTGTATTCTACTATATATTTACATATATCATTCATTAAATTTTATTATAAAATATACTATTCATGTATATTTATGTATCATATATTTTTTAACTCTACATTCCATAGTAAATGCTTAAGTTTTACATGA